TTTACAGGCTCTTTACATCCGAACTATTAGTTCGAGCAATAGTCACAGCTATTCACGGCATGCCCTTTGAGTGTGTGGAATATGATATTGCCGTCGGCTTTGAGTTGAGTGAACCAGCAGTGTTTTGTTCCTGGCGACCACATCACGTGTAAGTGCATGACCATGCATACAACAAGGACTGCGTGGGGGCTATTGAAGTTTATGGTACTCGGTGAAATCTAGTGGGATTACCAAGCATGGGTGATTCAGTAGTCATCGAGATGAGTTTACGGGACCCTCACGATTGACGAACATTCACAATGATAATCCAGTACTCATCACGACGGCTCTACCAACATTAATGTCCTTACTCGTGTGTGGGACTCTACTCTGCGGGCATAGCGGCCCCATTCCCTTTACAAGTTCCTAAATTGTGTTTATAGTCCATATGGGGCATATCGACCCCATTTTCCGAATAGAGTCCTGAATGATATTGTCTATGTTGGGCATAGCTGCCCCATTCCCCGAATCAATTCCTGAATGATATTGTCTATGTGGGGCATAGCGGCCCCATTCCCCGAATAGATTCCTGAATGATATTGTCTATGTGGGGCATAGCGGCCCCCTCCCCGAATAAATTCCTAAATTGTGGAATTTATAGTCCATATGGGGCATAGCGGCCCCATTCCCCGAATAGATTCCTGGATTGTGTAGTCTATACGGGGCATAGCGGCCCCATTCCCACGGCGGTCGTAGTCCGGCAAGGCATTGACTTGAGCATAATTGAAGCTCCTTCATTTTTCTCCAGCTTGCTCGACTTGTATGAATAATTTGAGATAAGTAGTCGACTACCGAACGCGAGTATGAGAATGAGACGTGCACTAGCAAGAACCAGCTAAGTGCAATCACCTCTAGCCCCCAACCCTGGATGTGTCGAGATTCGATTGAATATTACACTGCAAACTCCAACTCGGGCGAAGGGTCTTCGGCCACTCTGACGACTCTGCTTCTCAGCCTGCTCCGTTTACAGCATTATTCATGTTTCAGAGAGAAATTGGAAAGACACGCTCGAGTTTGATCCTCGTCTTTAAACTATAATTGCTCACACTGTATCTCCCCTAGCTGGAAGATGCTTATCCTGTTATGATCGTTCGGCACCTCCATCATACGTTGGACCGAAAGGCTTTCGACCAAAAGGGCACTTGTTGGGATGGCATAAACC